TCTTTCTTTCTTTCTTTCTTTCTTTCTTTCTTTCTTTCTTTCTTTCTGTTTCTCTTCCTTTCTTTCTCTTTCCTCCCTTCTTCTTTCCTTTCTTTTCCTTTCTCTTTTATTCTTCCTCCTTCCCTCCCTCCCTCCCTTTCTTCCTCTCTTTCTTTCTTTCCTTCTCTCTCTCCCTTCTCTCTCTTTCTGTTTCTTCCTTTTCTCTCTCTCTCTCTTCTTTCCTTTTTCTTTCTTAGTCTTTCTTTTTCTTTTTCTTTCTTTCTCCTTCTTTTCACAAACGGCTAAAATGGGCCTTAAATCACAAGAGTGCATGATAATTGGAAAGGAAGTAATTCCCCTGCAATTACGGCAAACGAAACTGCCATGCAAGAGATGAGGACGGTACATTCCTGCAGTCTATGGGAGCCAACGGAGGGTAAACGTGACAGGAGAGAAGATCTTTGCAAATCTTTATTATTTGATCTGATTTGTAGACATTTGGCCTACACCCATGTTTCCCAACCTTGGCATCTTTAAGCATTGCTGGCTGGGGAATTCTGGGATTTTGTTTCGCTTGTCTTGAAGTTGCCAAGGTTGAAAACCACTGGCTTATACTTCAGAGCCTCCTGCTTATTCAGAGAGAGAGAGAGAGACAGAGGGAGAGAGGGAGAAAATGATTGAAGTACAACCGTTGCCAAAAGCTAATTAGCCAAAGAAGGCCTTTCCACCAGCAAATGCAGAGCAGAAAAGTTCTTCAACCACCACTTGGAGGCCAAGAGTTGAAGACATCCTGTGTCCCAGGGGACAAAGAGCTCGGCCTTGCTTAAGACAGGGTGGAAATTCTCGAAATTCTCCCCCGCTTGGAGATTGCTTGGCTTGGACTGAATGGTCCTCTACCCCGTGCAGTGGTGGGATTCATAAATGTTTACTCCCAGTTCTGTGGGCGGGCTTGGTGGGCGTGGCAGGGGAAGGATATACTGCAAAATCCCCCTTCCCTCCTCACCCCACTAACCTGCTTTCCAGTTCCATTCTCCTGTGCAGGGCAACCAAAGGAGACCCAGCCGATCAGCTGGGACTCTATGGGAGGCAGAGAAGAGATGGGGTTGGTGGGGCCAGTCAGAGGTGGGATTGGCCGGTTCTCCAAACTACTCAAAATTTCCACTACCGGTTCTCCAGAACTGGTCAGAACTGGCTGAATACCACCTTTGCCAGGGGGCTACAGGGCTAAATTTGCTCCTCATGGTTGGTGAATGAGTTGATGCATTTACTACCAGTTGAAGCTCTGGAGTCTTCTTCCAAGGGATTTCACGTCAAGTGTCTCAAAGGTGCTTTTTCAATAGAATAGAAAAGGATGAGGAGGAAGAAGAACAGAATAGAATAGAATAGAGTAGAGTAGAGTAAGAGTAGAGTAGAATAGAACAGAACAGAACAGAACAGAACAGAATAGAATAGAATAGAATAGAATAGAATAGAATAGAATCTGAAAGGGACCTTGGAGGTCTTCTAGTCCAACCCCTTGCTTAGGCCTGGAACCCTCTACCATTTCAGACAAATAGTTGTCTGATATCTTAAAAACTTCCAGCGTTGGAGTGTCAGCTGCTTTAAAGGGGAATGTGATCCCATCCAGTCCATGACAACTTCTGGTGGCAAGCTGTTCCACTGGTTAATTGTCCTCCCTGCTAGGAAGTTTCTGCTTAATTCCAGGTTGCTTCTCTCCTGGATTAGTTTCCACCCGTTGCTTCTTCTCCTGCCCTCAACTGCTTTGGAGAATAGCTTGACTGCCTCTTCTTTGGGGCAGCCCCTGAGATATGGGAACCCTGCTATCACCCCAGTCCTTCTTTTCATTAAAGTAGACATACTCAGTTCCTGCAATCGTTCTTCATATGTTTTAGCCTCCAGTCCCCTAAAAATATTCCCCTAATGATGTCAGACCTACCAGTCAAAGTGGGCGATAGCCCCTCTTGGTTACAGCTTCCATTTCTTGGAGACCCGGCTCTAAAACATCCACAAACTGGATCAGCTGCTCTAAAGGGGCATGTGATCCCATCCAGTCCATGAGAGCTGCTCCGAGATATAAGTGCTTGCAGGAGGTCGCCCTCGCCAAAAACAGGGTCCTGGGGGACCGCACACAGCTCCATTTTTGCTGGCAGAGGGCCACATCCACCCCAGACTGGCCATGCACCCCAAGTCTCCCACCCCCGAGGTCAAACGTAACCATGATATGGCCCTGTTGTTGTGATGACTTGGGGTGCGACACAAAAATAACCAAGCCACAAAAATAGAAGAAAGTCCCTTTAATGTCTCCAACTTGGCCCCAATGTCCAATTATCCTCGGCAGGATATCAAAGTCTTAAAGAAAACAGTTTACGGAGGGAGGAAATGCAGTCCGCACCCAAAGTAAAGTTAATTCGAAATAAATAAATAAAAACCAACAGAACACACTGAAGGAATTACTACAGCAGGCAAGGATGATGAATTGCAGACTTCTATCAGATAACGCAGCAACCACAGTTGGGAGGAAGCCAAAACACAGATAAGCTCTGAGACAAGAATGCATGCTTTGCTTCCAGCAACTTTGCCATGTGCAGTTTGTCCTTTTAACCAGCCCGCCCAGGTGCAGCCCATGAAGGGGATCAGGGCCCCTTCCTCCCCCGTGGACCACGCCACTCACATTTCTCCCTTATCTGCTCTTCCCTGCATGCCCTAGGATGAAGAGGGGATGGGCCTGGGTCTTACTCTGAATGCCCATCCAGCCTCTGCCCTTCCCCAGTTTCCTCCACAACCACCGGAGCCACATTCCCCACTCCCTGTCAGCTGTTCCATCTCTCCTTCGGAGTCAGACTCCCAACAGGGGCGTGACAGTTGTAAGTCAAGGACGACCTGTATTTGCCACAAAGGAATGACACGGTTGCTTCGTGCCTTTAAAAAAACCCGTCCGTGTGTCATGCTCTGTCCTCCTTTGCCTGCCGACCAAGGAAGGGGAAAACAAAACAAAAATTGCTCACCGCCACCGTCTTTCCTACTTTCAGACATTGATGAGTGCGAGACCCCGGGAATTTGCATGAATGGCTGGTGCATCAACACCGAGGGCTCTTTCCGTTGCGAGTGCCTGGGAGGACTGGCCATCGGCGTGGACGGGCGGGTCTGCGTGGATACCCACGTCCGCAGCACCTGCTACGGTGCCATCAAGAAGGGCACCTGCGCCCGCCCCTTCCCGGGAGCCGTCACCAAATCCGAGTGTTGCTGTGCCAATCCGGACCATGGATTTGGGGAGCCGTGCCAGCCTTGCCCTGCCAAGAACTCCGGTGAGTCCCACTTCAGAGATGGGATCCCAGATTTTTTTAAAATATAATTTTATATATATTTATCAACACATTTATTTATATATTTTTCTCTGACGTATGTCAGTGCTTAATAAACACTGTGTCGTCCGAGTCAATTTACATATACCTAATAATAGTAATAATAATATTCTTTACTTATGTATAATGGTATTCTTCCAACTTCTAATCTCTACTTTTATTATTTAGCCATTGGTAAAAAATAATAATAATCCCAGGTTAAAACATATTCTGTATCTTTTTCATCCTTTATCTTTTACTAGCTCTATACCCGTGTGCTTCGCTACGAAACTATGTAGTCGGGCTTAGTTTTTGGGGAGGAAAATAAGGGGGGGGGAATTTGTGCCTCTCCCTACCAGCATCCATTGGTATTCATCTGGCTAGCATCCTGTCAGGATGCGAGAGAGTTGAGGGCTGTTTGGAAACTGAAACAGTATTTGCTGTGTGAGCAAGAAGGAGACAGCAAGGAGCCTGGGCGTGGCTTAGCTCAATTGTTCTGTACTGAAGCTGCTTGGTGCTGCTCTGAAACTGAACCTCCTCTCCTCTGCTTGTATTTTGCATTTAGAAGAGATTTCTTTTCAGGTGGCGAGGGGGAGTTAAACTCCTTAGCGTCAGAGCGTGTTAATAACAATAATAATATAGGAAATACTGTAAATGCTCTGAGGGTCATTTTGAAAAATCGTTTCTTAGTGAGCCCCTAGAAGCCAAGAGAAACATATGGGCCAAATTTCAAGTTTGTAGGCTTTATGGTTCTGGAGATTTTGTGATTATGCATGAGTGGCATTTCACCTTTATATATATATATATACACTGCTCAAAAAAATAAAGGTAACACTTAAACAACACAATGGAACTCCAAGTCAATCACACTTCTGTGAAATCAAACTGTCCACTTAGATAGCAACACTGATTGACAATCCATTTCACCTGCTGTTGTGCAAATGGAATAGACAACAGGTGGAAAGCAGAGGCAGTTAGCAAGACATCCTCAATAAAGGAGTGGTTCTGCAGGTGGTGACCACTGACCACTTCTCAGTTCCTATGCTTTCTGGCTGATGGTTTGGTCACTTTTGAATGCTGGCGGTGCTTTCACTCTAGTGGTAGCATGAGACGGAGTCTACAACCCACACAAGTGGCTCAGGTAGTGCAGCTCATCCAGGATGGCACATCAATGCGAGCTGTGGCAAGAAGGTTTGCTGTGTCTGTCAGCGTAGTGTCCAGAACATGGAGGCGCTACCTGGAGACAGGCCAGTACATCAGGAGACGTGGAGGAGGCCGTAGTAGGGCAACAACCCAGCATCAGGACTGCTACCTCCGCCTTTGTGCAAGGAGGGACAGGAGGAGCACTGCCAGAGCCCTGCAAAATGACCTCCAGCGGGCCACAAATGTGCATGTGGCTGCTCAAACAGTCAGAAACAGACTCCATGAGGGTGGTATGAGGGCCCGACGTCCACAGGTGGGGGTTGTGCTTACAGCCCAACACTGTGCAGGACGTTTGGCATTTGCTAGAGAACACCAAGATTGGCAAATTCGCCACTGGCGCCCTGTGCTCTTCACAGATGAAAGCAGGTTCACACTGAGCACATGTGACAGACGTGACAGGGTCTGGAGACGTCGTGGAGAACGTTCTGCTGCCTGCAACATCCTCCAGCATGACTAGTTTGGCAGTGGGTCAGTAATGGTATGGGGTGGCATTTCTTTAGGGGGCCGCACAGCCCTCCATGTGCTCACCAGAGGTAGCCTGACTACCATTAGGTACCGAGATGAGATCCTCAGACCCCTTGTGAGACCATATGCTGGTGCAGTTGGCCCTGGGTTCCTCCTAATGCAAGACAGTGCTAGACCTCATGTGGCTGGAGTGTGTCAGCAGTTCCTGCAAGACGAAGGCATTGATGCTATGGACTGGCCCGCCCGTTCCCCAGACCTGAATCCATTTGAGCACATCTAGGACATCATGTCTCGCTCCATCCACCAACGCCACATTGCACCACAGACTGTCCAGGAGTTGGGGGATGCTTTAGTCCAGGTGTGGGAGGAGATCCCTCAGGAGACCATCCGCCACCTCATCAGGAGCATGCCCAGGCGTTGTAGGGAGGTCATACAGGCACGTGGAGGCCACACACACTACTGAGCCTCATTTTGACTTGTTTGAAGGACATTACATTAAAGTTGAATCAGCCTGTAGTGTTTTTTTCCACTTTAATTTTGAGTGTAGCTCCAAATCCAGACCTCCGTGGGTTGCTAAATTTGATTTCCATTGATAATTTTTGTGTGATTTTGTTGTCAGCACATTCAACTATGTAATGAACAAAGTATTTAATAAGAATATTTCATTCATTCAGATCTAGGATGTCTTATTTTTGTGTTCCCTTTATTTTTTTGAGCAGTGTATACAGATGTTAACTTATCCATTTTTGCACAAACTAATATTTTTTTAAAAATTATATTTTCCTCTGTAGGAGTTTCCTCACTTTTCCAGTGTTGTACAAATACAATTCTCGCTGCTGTCAAAACATGTAATATTCAATATAGATTCCCTTTGTCATATTTTTTTTCTTAATTCTTTGGAGAGAGGAAGAGATGTTATCTGGAAAAACTAATTTCCTGGTATTTTCTGTGTTGCTCACGACCATCATGGATTGGCTGGTCATTCCTACATGTTAAATCAGAGGTAGTATTCAGCCGTTTGGGACTGGTTCTGGTATACCAGTAGCGGAAATTTTGACCAATTCGGAGAATTGGCAAATACCACCTCTGGTTGGCCCCGCCCATCCACTCCTGTTCTTTTCCATTCTTTATTCCATTGATTTTTAGCTTAGCTGATTTGTGCGGATGGCCGTGCCTCAGCTGAGTTTTTAAAAAAACAGCTTTTGAGTCCTGTGAAAGGGTGATCTTTGAGAGCTGCACATGTATGCGAACCAGTAGCACACAATTTGGAATCCTACCACTGATGTAAACGTGTCTTGTTCTCCTAGTGTCCATTTTGGGGTCTGGGGAGAGGCGCGTGCAAGGGAAACTTTATCCCCCCTGAATGTAAGAAACCGGATCATATTTGGCTGAGGGAAAGGAAAATGACTGATTACACTGAGTTTTTTTTTAAAAAAAACAGCTTTCTTTGGATGTCCCAGGCAAGGTTATTTTTTTTTTCCTCTCTGAAGCCTTCCTTGGAATGACCTTGTGATCTTCCTGCATGTTTTAAGTCCTTCCAGGAAAAGCTGCATAGGGGAGGAAGCCTCAGGGAGAGCTTGCCCATCTGGAGCCATGGGAAAAAGGACAGATTAACAGAGTTGGAAGGGACCTTGTAGGTCAGCTAGTCCAACACCCCTCCCGCCCAAGCAAAAGACAGGGATCAGTGGTGGGACTCCAACTTTTTTCCTACCGTTTCTATGAGAGTATGCTTCACGCATGCTCACAGTGCTCAAAAACTGCCCTCTGGGTCAGGGCTGGTAAGCTGAGCTGTTTTTTAGCTCAGCTGAGGCGAGGCAATCTGCTCTGCCACGTAAATCAGCTGAGGTAAAAAAACAAGGGAATATAGGAGCTGAGGTAAAAAACAAGGGAATATAGGAGCTGAGGTAAAAAA